TCCCCCTTTAGAGACACAGAGAGGGGATTCAGCTTCTGTTTGTAAAATGTGGAAAATCTTTGCAAAAATTTGACAAGGGAATAATCTTTTTGTATGGCACCTGTGAAATTCCACTACTTCTTATACTTACAGCTCTTTTTAGAAGTTTACACGCAATCATTGTTGACCTGGCAGCCATATTAATCTCAGCCTTTGATGCTTTTAATAATTCATTTTAGGTCGATATAAATCAGCTTTATCTTTGAAAAGCAAAAATCTCAGTACACCTGTTTGCATCTTTATGATAAACACATTATTATACAGAAGCTCAAATACTTCGTTATAGGAAAGATAGAACACCAAATCAAAAGTGAAATGAATATTTGAAATCAATTCTAGCATCTAAACACTGAAATAATTTTATCAAACAATTTAAACTACTTGTTAAAGGAATAATGAAAGCGAACCTTCCCAAATTGATTCTGACTCTTAAACTCTTCACTCTGAAAACGAGCGGAGCACCAGTCAGTCGTAAGGTGAGGTGCAAGTGATAAGAGTATTTTGTTTCAGCATATTGGAGGTGGTTTTACCCATTTAACCTGAGTCATTTCGTTTGTCGTGCTCCTGATTGCTGTGCTAAGATTGATCACCTTTTTAAGAACTTACATAAGCCTGCATAAAACACTGGGGAACAACAAATGGTCTGACAAAGAGAAGCATCCTGAAAACAGATGAAAGCATGCTGAAAGAAGTCTCCAAAAATCCTAAAACGTCATTAGAGGACTTAGAGCAGGTTCTTCTTACTTCTGATATGAAAATGGACGCATATCTAATCAGTAAGGAACTGCACTTTAAACTATAACTTTAAAGGGAGGTGTGAAAGAGTAAAACCTTTTCTCTATAGATTGTAGAAACACTAGGAATTCTTTATTAATCGTTTTGGACACAGAAGTCTAAAATTAAACAGACATAATTGGCATTTGATAAATAAAGATTGTCAGGGAAAAAAATCTTTGCTCTAAAGCAAGGAGGTGACAGTGTCATTGTAAGGGGGATCCTTTTCCACAGCAGATCTTCTTGCATTCTCTATTGCTTCTGGGGGCACTTAAGAGGACTGGAGATGGAATAGAACCTGAACTTAGAACATTAGAATGATCAAAAATATAACATATATTAAAGCATAGACTAACAGACACCATCAATGAATCCAAAGTTGTTAAATGGAGTTAGATCTATATGCTTAATACATGTGCAGACCTTCAAGTATTTGCATTTTGATGTTTTCAGTCACAGCTTGCGTTTTTCTAGGAGAGAGATTCAGACAGAAGGGAAAGATACCAAATTATTATTTATTACAGATTCAATCCAACTTTAAAAGAACGTTATATTCAATGACACAAATTTGGATGACTCTAAAATCATGACCTTTATGATGATAAATGTCTATTGTGACATATTTGTGGTAAAAAAAAACATGGATTTTCTGAGGCTGGGTAAAAAAAGTATCCTTAAGTTTAGAAAGTGATGTCCTTTCATCGCTGATATCCTGTCAACAACTTCCTGGTCTATCCCTCACAGGTGCAACATCTGCCTACAGCTACATAATTTCAAGAGAGGCCTCTGAAGCTGGTAATCTCAAGAGGGATGTCAGATAAGAGATGTGAGTTTAGAATGAAGCTTCAATTGCATCTGTCTCCACAGAAACAATATGATCACCTGGGCTTAGAGAGACCCTTTGAAAAATCCTTCATTTTGTCTTTATCCGTATTGATGCAAATTCCCAGTAGAACTGGACTCATCCCAGCTAGATGCTCACGGCTATACTGGATACAACGTGTTACCTCCTCCTTACTCAGAGTAACAATGTCTAATCCTAAAGGATCTTTAAGGGCCAGTGCTAAAGAGCTTCCATTATGATGGCCTGATTGGTAAAAGCATGAAATCTGGAAGGAAAGTGGCTGATATTACCTTTGAGCATGTGGTGAAAATAATCCTGTTCCTGTACTGATCTGGAATAAATAAAAAATTAACAGAAAAATACTGTCCAAACTTATTTTAACGGTAGATTATCAATCAGATATCTTCCTTACTTTCCTAACTTTTCTTATGAGGCTTCATGAAAATTTGATAACAATTGATCATTTAAGTTTATTCAGTGAAATATTTCTAGTGTTTTTTTTTGGTTTTTTTTTCCCAGTTGGGCTTATTACTTATCTATAATCAGCTAATATATACATATATATTACATAACAGATATGATGTAGTGGATAACATTTTTTTTACTCTTAAACTGTGAAATATTTTTTGTAAATATGTATATGAAATAAAAAGCTTCCTTATCACAGTATAATGCAAACAAATATAATTTTTCTTTAAACCAATAATATTCAATTATACCTTATTAATTCCCAAAGTGAAATTCAGTTTCCCTGAAACTGAATGAAAACCCAACAAACCGAAACCTGATGCTCTGTTATTATAAAAAGACATTGGTGATTGGAAACCTGCCATTCTTTTAATAATCTTTCGCAACTTGTGCAAAGCTATAATTCAAATCCTAACATTTTTATATTCACTACATCTGTTGGACTTTGCTGTTGGTCAAGTTAATACGTGTAGTTAGATGATTCAAAAACAAGGTCTTTAAGCTGTGCTTCAATTGGACAAAACATTACCACTTAGCTGTAAAACTAATATTTTAAATTAGAAATGGAAATCTCTAAAATTAAAATGACTTCCACACGGATGTTGAATGCATGAAATCTGGAGGCTGTCATTCTACAAAAATAAGCCATGACAAGAACACATATGTGGAGCCTCACCAAGCTTTATTTACATGCGCACCATTTCTTATACAAAGTAGATTACAATTTAAAAAAGGGGGAATACACAGGTAGAATACTCACTAACATTGAGAAGAAGCAAGGTTAATAAAGGGCAAAGTTCAGAGGTGTGTGTGTGGAAGGAAAAAAGCTGTCCGGAGTTTCTTAATAAGCGAGAATGATAAAAAGGTGATGTCCCAGAGGTCATGAAGGTATCTAGTGGTATTATTAAGTTATATTAGCTTTACTTCAGCATATGACCTGACATGTTTATGCTAACTGGACACCATAATTGAAGGAAAGCTCCACTGTTACTTAGTAGAGAGCTAAAGCTCTTTACACTATCTGAGAAAACATGTCAGGAACACCTACTCTGGATTAAGATGCAGTTAATCTGGGATCAATAACCCATCTTTACACTGGAAAGGATTAGAGGGTTCCCAAAATTCACCTTGTCAGTGTTAATCTGTGTAGATGACTTTTGAATGTGTAACAGGTTAATCTAGATTCTCCCTGCAAAAATGAATGGTAGTGTACTGGAAATGTTGAATAAAATGAGGTGTTGGGCATTCCAGCTTTAAGTACATTAAAGCTCTAAATAGCAGCTCAATCAGAGCACAAGGAAGGAGGTTAACAAGATATATCCAAGCAGACTCATCCTGGACATGCATCTATGTGAAAATGCATGTACAGCGGCTGATATATTAGTATAAATTAAATCAACTTTTAAAAAAATCATATCACTGTTTTCCACATATAATATCCTCATATTGCCAGGGCAATTCAAATGAAAATCATATAAATTTATAGTCAAAATATAAGTTTAGATCTGTGGTGTTACCTGAAGAAGGAAGTTTTTTTTTTTTTTGGCATGTTTAACAAAGCATTGAATTATAGCACCTTTTATTTATCCTTTTTTTTTTTTATGTAACAGATTTCTTTGCTCCACAGTTAATTTGCACACAATGATTACATCATATGTGGAAAAGGTTTGTCTTTGTTTGACATGACAAAAACCTGCCGATCTGACAGAGGAGTGTACATTTCAAAGAGCAAGTTAAAAATCTAAACCTATTAAATGACAATAGTGGTGGAAGAGAGTGTTTTTATTCATTTTTATACACAGGACTCATCTTCGGATTCTAATTCTAATTCTTAAAGGGACGGAACAGCTGGAAGTGTTGAATTATATCATGCACTAAAACCTCAGATTGCACAGCAGCTACTTTAGCCAGCCATGCACACTGACTCATCTGCTTCAAAATGATATACACAAATCTGTACACTATTATACAAAGCAAGGAATACACTTCATGTCGCTACCCCAAAACAGGAAAGGGGTATCACGGCTTCCAGATGCTACAACAATGGTGCTTCTGACCATTTAAAGAAAGAAAAAAAAAAAAGGTTCAACAGTTAAAATCGCTGGTAACAGTGTTCCCACTAATCCGGCGTGTAACGTTGTTCCAAGTTTCTTCAACTACAGAGGTATCACAAAAAAAAACAAGGATCAAGTACTAAAAATGAGTATATAAGGACAAAACAGCGAGTAATATATGCATGTAGCACAGCTCATATGATGCATAAAGAGGACATGCATACAGTCCCTCAGCCTGTACGCAAATCGAGAGAATAATCCGACTGAAATCGACACGATGAAAAAACACACGCATCAAACACGTAAGTGGACAGATACAAGAAGTCACCTGCAGGAGCACCAGGCGTGTCCAAGAGGATGTGTGTGTCTGTCATGACTTCAACAAGAGGAGAAAAACTGCAGAAAACCATCAGAAAGTAAGAATAAAATAACAAGACATGCGTGACTTAATAATCCGGACATTTATTCTCCCTTCTACGCTTCATCTTAACGACCAAAGGTTCACAGGTTACAAGTTCACAAGCACAAAGTATTAGGTTTTATTATCAAGAAATTTAAAATGTAATACCATTAGAATGTGACTGGAAAGCCTCCCATTCCCCCCTGAGTGATTGTGTGTATGCATAACAAGCCTCACAATCTGTTTGACGAGAAGAGCTTTGACACAGATCCCTGCTTATAGATTTTCTTGTACATGTAAATGTTGCAAGGTTGTGTATGTGTGTGCACGTGTGATTTGGCTGCCAGCATACTCTACTGTTTATTTCAAGTGAATTTGGCAATTTACAGAGATAGCTTATTGTTTTGCTGTTTTTTTTTCTTTCTTTTTTTTTACTCAAGAAACAAGTGGCTTCTAGAGGAATGAGGCTGAGAAAAAAAACCCTCTTGTTGTCTTTTCTGCTCCGCCAGCGCTACATGTGGCTTTTAAAACAACAGGCGCAGCTCGCTCTCAGGATAGGATTCAACACTGTTCATACAGCACCCATAGTGGTGTGGAAATATTCACAACTCTTGGATACAGGTATGTATTTAAGCTACATCATTGGCTGCATTAAACAAGCTCAACGGAGCTCCCCAGAAGCTATCACAAAAACAAACAAAAAAAAAATACATTTTAGATTTGCTCTCCTCCTTCTTTATGCACACTTTGGAGTACACAAGGATGAAGCATGTGATGTTTATGTATGCCGCAGTTATTTAACTTCAAGCAAAAACATTAAGTGCATGGCATAAGTTTTATGAATTTCATCTAAGGTTTCTGAGGTTTTCTTTTGCAAAGTGTCAGTTTGTCTGTTTGGGTGTCTGCAAAAACTGTGTGCAACACCCATTCAGTAAGACCCTCTGTCTGATTCTCTTCATTTTATCAATAAACAAATCCAATTTTGATTTTTTTTTCCTATACAGAAATGATCAACCAAGATAAAACAGAATAATGCCAAAAAACAAACAGTGAACAGATATAATAACTATTGACAGATGGATTGTTTTTGTCCTTAAAACATCCCACAGTCTGTCTTGATTTTTTTTATTTTTTTATCTCTTAGTGGGAACAACTGCACCGTGATCTCCAATGTCTTCACCTAACCCTTAGTCCTTAATTTCCACCTCACAAAAGTTCGGACAAGCTGCGTCTTCTAACTGGACGTCAAAGAAAAATTGCATAAGTTTTTCATAAGCATGTCATTGTTTTTTTTTTCAGTTTGTTTTGTTTTTATTTCACAGGAGGCTTTGTGGGCTGAGGTGCAGCATCTTTAGAGTCTCTCAGGTAAGTTGTGGTTCGCCAGTGTGGGAGTGAAGGTAAAGCTCAAGAGAGGAAGTTTACTTTTGTAAACACAGCGTTTGTATTTTACATTGTGCTGATGGCTGGTTTGGCAAAAACGGGAGGTTCTGTCTGATCTCCTTTTGCACCTCATATGTCAGACCTGCAAAGATAAAGAGGAAAAAGTTAAAATCTGTGCAACATTGTTACATAGAGTCAAACATTTCAGTTAGTGAAGCCCAGTAAGCCAAATACCAAAATACCTTATCTTTAATGGAAATCTGCATCTAGAAAGCACTATATTTAAAGTTAGCATACAGTTTGGATGTTCATATCTGTCATTGGGTTGATGATGCGCAACTTCTTGCTCTTTCTGGTGTCATCAGGTTTGATCATGGTACCCTTTTCCTGAACCTTCTCCAATGTAACTAACCAAATTCCCCGATCTAGATGTAATTTAGCTCTCCAGAGGTCTAATAACAAGACATTCACTTAATTCAGGTCTGGAGATGGGATTCCTCTAAACATGGCAGGATAGCTCTCAAGGACTGGTCTTGGGCAACCCTAGTTTTGATTAACCAATCACCTGCTAGCAGGAAGAGACTGTCCTTTTGAATCATCACTATTTTAATAAAATTGATTCCCCTAATATAAAGTTGATTTTAACGTAACAATTTCACAATGAGAGAGTAGACACATGCTTGCAAAGCTTTCTTTAAAAAGACTACATTTGATGTTTTTGAAGTGGATTTTATTTGAGTTCTAATAAGCAGACAGTAGACAGACTTAGACAGTAGTCTGAAAATTCCTAATTTCAACATTTGTTTTAATTCACGGTAGGTTAACATTTATACATTAGTTTTGTATTAGATGTTTAGACAGATACATGTCCACGTTTCTTTACAATGAAGTTCTGTCCATCAAAACATGTTAATAAAAAAAATCTCAAGAGCTTCACTCGTTCAAGTAAAGATTGCTAATGTTTTACGTTTAACCAAATTTAAACCTTGACATATCCTATAAATTGTTTCACATAGATCATTTTATTTTAGCAGAGCACATTGTAACAGAATATAATGAAAAACAGCAATAGCATGATGAAATTGGGGATGTCTTGATGAAGACTTTTTTGCCCTAATATGATCAGATTAATTAAAGAATAGATTAGATTGAATCAAAGTAAGGACAAACCTAAAACCTAAGAAGCTGTAGGTTGCAGTTAAAAAAACACTCCTCAGTGGTTTGGTATTGTGATTATGTCTCATATCAGTCATCTGTAATATTCCTTTTCTTAATGGCAACAGACACCTGTTGCAACTATTATCCTTCCTAACAAAAACATCTAAACTGAAGATACAGTAGCAGATTTTAATTAGTCTGGGATAGATACGCATAATTTAAAGCTGTCTTGATCAGGAGATACTTATAAATAACCTTTATGCGTAAATGAAACATTGGCTTAAATAGTTAGACAATACTACTTTACCAAATTAGAACGGCTATCTTTGACATTTGAGACGTCCATTTCATCATCCATGAACCGCTCACTCTATCTGTAAGCTTTAGTCCCCCAATGAAAACATCAGAAACTCAAGACTGTGAATATTCAAACAGCTGTTAACTGTGGGATAGATACTAACAGCTGACAACCTTTTTACAAATATCTACCTGAAATCTCTGAACTACCCGTTCCATTGGTACAAAGTACAAAAACAAAGGTTTAAAGGCATGCATTTTGTGTTTGGTCATGAAAAATGTAAACCAGCTGCAACAAACGCTCTTTAAACTTGATGAAGCACCTGTTTGCTAAACTCTTCATCACAACACGTGTGGTGAGCCACGGATGCAGCTGAAAATTATGGTGGTGCTAAAGCTCTAAAAGTATCTTTCCTGTTTGCTAAGGTTGGCTCTCCACACAAACATTGGCAAGCTGCTAACCCGTGATAAAGCACAGCGTTACAGACCAATTAAAAATATATGTCAGTGTTTTACCATGCAAATTCTCTCAGAGGAAAATACTGTTACTTTCCTCAATAAAATTAAAAATAGTAGACTTTCTGAAAGAGGGCGGGGAAATGTCCCTTGCACTTTTTCAAAAGTCATTTGATCCCCTGAACTTTTTACACTCCAAAAACCATGTTGCAATACAGCGCAAAGACGATTGTCGAGCGCTAGGACCAAGTGGAAAACCACAGCTCAATCTGAAGCCCAGAAAGCTCGGAAGGAAAAAAAAATACAATCTATGAATGTGATTCTATAAATCCAAGCTCTTAATAATTGTAAAACTGTGTTTTTACTCTACATGGACTGTTGCACCCCAAATTGTCCAACTGTCCATGTCATGCATCCATATATTTTGTTAGGAGAGGGATAGCAGATACAAAAAAAATGAAAAAAACAATCACAGAGGATCTACTAGAAAAAACACCTAACTTATATAGTAGTTATATATATAAAAAAAAAACTGCGTCTCCCACACTTCTGAAATCAAAATTTTGTCCATGGTATTACCACATATTCTCAGAGGTTGTATGGTTTATATTCATTCAAACCAATCCTCACCCACCTGCTCTTCCCCTTCTATCTCAGCCAGGCACCCAGCTCTGGGACGTCTGCTTGCTGCTTGTGAAGTTGCTGACTCCATTCATGTTGGCCAGTGTCTCAAAATTAAAATCCAGACCGTCTGCATCCATCAAATCATTCCTAATGATGGACTCCATGTCACACTCCAGGCTGCCACCATTGAACATGTCCAGGTCCAGGTCTGTAGGAAAGCGGTCCTGACAACCTCCGCTGCTGCTAACTGTGCCATTTAAAAAGATGGAGGTGTCGATCTGCATGGAGGAAGTTCCATTTCCACCAATTGGTGACAGTAGGAGCTGTTGTTTGACATTAGCCAAAGTATTAGCCTCATTGACGAGGTTCAGATCTCCATTCAAAGACCTGAGGGTGCTCTGTTTGTGGTTGTTAGTTTGGATCATCTCCCTATGGCCACCCTGAAGACCACCAGTGGTCCCAAAAGTCATAACAGGATCATTACGGACCATAACATTTCGCCGGGCGTTCTGGGAAATAATGGCAGCAGCACTGGCCTGTGACATCAATGGGTCGGACTGAGTCATCATGACATCACTATGATTGTGGCTGTCAGAGTTAAGAAGGTCTTGTAGTGTTTGGCCGCAAAAGCGAGACATGCCAGTGGTTGAAAATGATGTTTGCTTATTCTCCTGGATCGTCTGCATGGGGGACGTACGCAGTGAGGAGCTTCCTGTGTACGGACCAAAGATGGAGTTACTGTAACTATTACCTCCTGCATTAGGGGAGTTGTTGGAGGATGGAGATGAAGTTGAGGAAGGTGACCCTAACCCATTGGGTTTGGACACAAAACTAAATCCTGAGGAACCATTTTGCATTCCCTGGCTGCAAGTGGTTGGTTCTAGCTTGATGTTATCCAGCAAATCATCCATCAGGTCTTGAGTGATTCCATCATTAAGGTTCATTGTATTGGCCAGATCCGCCAGACGAGGTAGCTCAGCAGGCGCAGGCTTCCCATTGGTCAAAGTATTGCCAGGAGACAGGGCTCTGCCAGGACTGGAGTAGATCATTGGTGAGAGAGGAGGTTCATCATCAGGGACCTCGTCAAGCTCAGGGTTCGCTAAGATTGGGCCGCTAACTGTGCTGGCATTAGAGTTGGTTCGGGATCGGAAGTCTGTCCAGGCATCCAGGTCCTCGCTGCTGCGTGATGTTGGGCTCCCCGGCCACTTAGAGGGGCCTGACGGACTGTCTCCACCAGCCTCCCCAGCTGCAGCAGCCGCAGCCTGCAGGGCGGCTTTCTTCTTAGCAGCAGCACGACCACGGGCAGACTTGGTGTACTTGTTGCTGTTGTCCATGGAGACTGCCCGGCGCCGTGGAGCCTTGCCTCCCTTTCCTCCCTCTGGGTTGATCATCCACCATGAACTCTTTCCCGTTCCCTCATTCTGGACACGGATGAAACGACTGTGGAGAGACAGGTTGTGCCGGATGGAGTTCTGGAACAAAAACAAAGTAGAGGAGATTTTTCAGTAATGTACGAAAACCTTTTTAAAGAACAAATAATAAGACTGCAAGTATCATTACCTTAAAACATGATATTTAAAAAGGAAGTATATTATTTAGATGAGGTCAGAAAGTGGAATCTCAATGCACAAAAAGTACAAACAGAATTCCAATAGGAGCAAGCCACTAACCTTGCTATAAAGTTTTGGAATGCATGGTTGGTGGATTAAATAAAAAGGCTATTTCTCACTTTTGTAATCATCTGGACTGTGACTGATGATCTCTGCTATAAAATCTAAAGTTAACTAAAGAAATGAGCTGAATTATTCAAACCTCAGTTATATTTCCTTAAAACTCTGCTAAAGGCTATGAAACCTTTTGTCTGTCTATGAAAACACAAACAGGAAATAATTTCAGTAGAGTTTTGATATGAAAACTAGAGAAGTTCATTGGTTTATGCAGTTATGGTGAAAATTATTTGACCATCCTTGTTTTTTTTTTCTTTTCTTTTGTTTGTTTCTGTTTGCTGTATTCTTCAAGTAATAAACTCTTTGCCGGTCTATTTTTTCCCATGACTTTATAGAAGAACGTCCACTCAAAACTGCAATATATTACAATACTCTTGTGTATAATTTACCTGTGAAATAAAGTGTATTCTTTATTTCACAGGTAAATTATAAGCATTTTGTCTTGTTAATCCCTCCCCCCTCAGTTTATGAGTGTAAACAGTTCTTAGGCATGATTAGACATACTAAACACGCAAATCCAAAAGCTTATTGTTTCAGTTACTCTTTAGATATAGACAGGCTCACAGTTGTGTGGAGCAATTCACAGCGCTGCTGGCAGCATTGTTCCCGCTGTGGCATTGTACTGTTGACTTAACAGAATAGATAGGCTATAATTGAGTGTCTTGGTGTCTTTTATAAATGAGACATACATAGAGCTTCTGTTTGTAAGATCATGAGTTTCAGCTGGTGTGCACTGATAGGCTATGGTTTCTTGTGAAAGCCCCAAAGCCTCATTGCAAAGGATTTGGTGCACATGACAAACCTTGTTAATAAACACTTTCATTGACAGGCCACATATTTATGGATACATAAAATACTTCTGTTGTTGGCAATGTTTAAAGCAACAGGGCTAAGCTGGGTATTTGTTCATTGCCATGTCTTTTTTCCACATTTGTTTTTAAGCCTTCTTCTTGCTTGTGTTACTATTTGGTGCTTCCTAAAAAGTTCTTTAAAATAATGTCCCTCAGTCGCTGGGTTGAAGGCTGATTAGTTAAAGAAACTAATCTAACATTCAAAACATGAAAAACAAAGTTTTGATTCAGTTATTATTGTATATTAATGCTTGTGTTAAATAACTAGTTTGGATATAGGGATTTATCAAGGTTAAGATGCGTCTGCTGGATTAAAGTTGGGGAAAAACAAAAATCCGATGTTCTAATTCACGAGATTTTTAGCCTTTATGTGTAAAACCTGCAAAAAAAAAGACTGCAAGAGAAAACAGGAATGAATAAATATTTCATTACAAATCTATAGCTCATATGTCTCTCCATGCCTACTCAGACATGGAAAATACTAATTAGAATCCCAGCTTTGCCAGACATTTACCTGATATGATTTATAAAATTCATTCACCTCAGTATAGTTTTAAGTTCAAGGCAAATGAGGGTTTTATTTATGTATCTTGATCTGATCTATCCCAGCCAAGAACTGCTCCATCTGGACCGCCCTTCCCTCACATCCAAACTTCCACACAAACACTTGCAGCCATCTGGTTTCTTTAAAGAAACCAATGCATAGCTCATAAAGGAAAGAACAATTCTGAGGCAAAGAATGGGATTTTATAGCCATGAACTCAAATTTTAACAAATGTAGATGTGTCTATACTTGTTTTTCTTAAACATCGCAATTAACTTTCTGAATCCCTTTTCTTAACCCCCTTTTTTCCTTTTCTTTCCATTCCCTCTTCCTCGCTTTCTGTTGTTTCACAAACACATAGTTCTTATGGGCCCAGAGGGAATCTCGGGCTATGCTGTATCCTCCCATATAAACAACCTAACCACCATCCACAACATGCAAGCCAGTTTTTTCTTTCCCTCTCTTTGGTTTCCTTCTTATGTATATTTTTATTCCTGAGCACAGAGGAGATTTCTGGGCTCAAACCAGCACAAGCCTAAACAGCTTTCAAGCTTTTGTGGGAATACCAATGTTGTTTGCCATGAACCGATCCCAACTTTCTAGGCAAGAGTTTCTGAACAATTTGGTCTGGACTGTTACTCCAGTCAAAAGCAGTTCATTTAGAGTGTAGAGGGTTTAGGGTTACATTTCTAAATGCTACGCTGGCAGAAAAAAAACAAAAAAAACCCCCTGAACTTTTGACTCTTTGTACAGTAGTTGTGTCCAAAGGTTTGTAACTCTATTCATGCAGGTAATCTTTGTGAAAACTGTTGCATATTTTCAAATCATTGATCTTGTGCATGAAATCATGAATGGCGTATGTGTTTGAAAGCACGTTTCCCAAGTGTGTGGGTGTCTATTTTGTACAATGAGGTAAGCGAAAAAGAAGTACCAGGGGGACCTAGTGTTTGTCCTTTGAAAGCATCTCTAGAGGAGTGACGTAAAGCTGCTTCATTACCAAAGTTTTTAAAACACACACGCATCGACACACATCGTGACTCAATGTTTCCAGCCACCAGGAAGATATAAACAAACAGGATATACAGTATATTCTAATATGAAAAAAAGATGGATAATTGGAGCGTGATTTTTGTTTTTGTTGATGTTTCAAGCTTTCTTTCACCCGCCAGCTTCTGACAGCTCATCAGTTCTTGGAGCTCCCTTCACACTACATTCTTCTCACTATCTAACCCCCACACAAAGATTCTGGTCATATGTTACCCGTTTTGATGTTTCTTTAAAATGTGAAACTGAATTTCTCATGTTGTGTCAATCAAAAAGAAACAGGAGATTTATAGCGGCATGAAATGTAATGGCATTAAACAGTGACTGATTATGAAAGAGGAGGTGAGGAGATTATGATTGTGAGATGAAAAGATGGATAATGTGTGTGTGTCATATTAGAAATAAGAACAGTAGCACTAATAGCAGCATATCCTCCCACATGCTTGCATAACACAAACCTTATGTTTACCATGTCTGATATTCTACTCTGAGAAATATTTCTGATTTATTTAGCTTTCAGAAAACATCTATGTTTATTTTCTTCTTTTTTTTTTTTTTTGCCAAAAGCAGACACTGAATAGGGTCAAGTGTGCTCATGGTGCATTTTAGTTTAAGCTGGGTACAGTATTTTTTTTATTTTCACAACTGTAGCTTCTCTTGGGTATTCCCAAAGCCCATTAATAAAAACAGCACACTGAGACAGCAGCTCTGATTCATTGCTTCTACTAAGCAACCACAGGAGCTAAATAACACACAAACACAGTTTACAGTGGAAACCTGCAGTGGATCGGGTTTAGGAGGCAGGCCGAAAATTATGATGTGAGGTTTTACGCAGTACATGCTAGCATAAATATCCCTAATGAAATTTTTTTTACTTCAAAGTGATATTTTTATTCTAACATCCAGTGAGCGCGTACACCATATGACTGCATTAGATACAAAAACAAAAATATATAAAAAGATTTATTGTTTTAAAATGATTTGTTTTAGTTTATATGAAGTTTATAGGTTTTTATTGTGTTGATTTATTTGTAAATGATACAATTGGATCATCAATTATCTACAATTCCTATTTGCAGTACTGACAAAACAGTCTTTTATTTATTTATTACTTCAGTGTGCACAGATTCAATAGTGCACTGTAATCCCCCACACTGTTTACATTTGTGAGATAGCCATATATGTCTGTATGCGTGTCCACCAGCTGCAGGCGAAACTCAGGAAAACAGAGAAGTTTTTGTCAGTCAGCAACATGTGGGAACAATTAATTACTGTCAGCAACCACGCAAAGAATCCCTTTCCCTCCCTTTTTATGTGTTTTTTTTATGTGTGCATAGTGAACACATATCTCTGATTATGCAAATCCTTATTTTAAGTCTTTAATAAACCATTTCAGATTGTAAGACTTCCTTGGGAGCTAAACTCATGTCTAAGGAAAGCTTGTGCTGTATATGTAATGAAACTCCTAAAGGTAAATCTCAGGCATCATTACCTGATTGGTTCAGATGATTCTAAGCTCTCTTTCTTATTGGTTGTAACTATCCAAGCTCAAGCAGTTGTGATTGGTGGAGTGAAATTGGCCGATGTAGCCAGGCAGTACAGAAAAGGGCGGGTATTCATGGTGTTGCATGTGTATTTCATCACCCAACTACAGCACATATCTGAACTAAAATATATGAACTGGGTTGGTTTTACTGGGCAGGTTCTGTCTTCTCTCTAAATATGCAACCAACCTGATATTCTAAAGTTATTGGAGAGAAGAGATAAATAAAAAAAACACATATATTAATAACGTACATATATTATCTATTAATATTGGAAAATAATTATTTCTTGGGATATTAAATAAGATTTAATTTAATAACATGACTTGTTGAAAAGTCTAATCTTGCAAAAGTTATCTTTTACATTATAATCAAATGATTTTATTTCTGTTTTCACTGCTTTCACAGGACAAACTCTTTGGCCTGAGCCCTATGGTGTACATCACCACCCACAGGCACACTGTATGTGTCTGTGTTAGAGTCTTGGCCAAACATAACCCCACTTTTTCAGCTATTATGTAAACTAGTTCTAATCTGATTCTAATGTCAACAGTGACTGCTGCTGCTGCTGGGGTCAATAGGACATTTAACATAATGTGAGTCATGATCTAACAAAGGGGACGACAAATGACAAATGTAATAGTAGGGTTTTGAAAGTGTATTCCTTTAGACTTCAATAAGATTTGTTTGATTTGCTTATCTGCTCTTTTATTCGTTATTAAAGGAAAGTGCAAAAAGACAGACCCTTTCTGAAAGCTTTCT